AGTGAGAGCAATCATTTTAGGGCCATCAATCACTGATAACACTAAACTGATGAGCGGTAACAGCTTTTAAAGCGTCGCCTAGGGCCAATTTTGGGTATTATCGTTTTTTGAGGTTTCGCGCGCGCACGCAATTTTAAGGCTTGACATGTCTTTTTACCCGACGTAAAAAGACATGACATGTCTTTTTACCCGACGTGACCCCCATCTTTTATATTTTACCAAAAAATTGGGTAATAATAAATGTTTTATCATTTAATATAGGGGAAACTGTTTTTTTTTTAAAAATTTCGGTAATTTTTCCTTAATATAGTAAAAAAATAAAACCCCCAGTGGTGAATAAATACCACCAAAAGAAAGCTCTATCTGTCCCCAAAAAAGGGTATAAAATTCATTTCAGTACAGCGCTGCATGACGGAATAAATGTCAGTCAAAGTACCGCAGCGCTGAATACTGAAAAATGGCCTGGATGGGAAGGGGGTTTAACACCGCGGATGTCAACTGGTTAAAGGCAACAAGATTACTATTGTCCCCACCAAGTTGTGCCCCAGTTTGTGTGTACTCAAGAATACGTGATTAATAGGGCAGTACTGTGCGTCCCCACATGTTTATAAACTGTTAACTTGCTTCAGAGTAGAGTGGATTTAAAGGATACGGTCACACAAAATTAGGAGGTTTTTGATAATGCAGTCTTGAGTCACCTGGCAGTTTTTTCTCATTTAGGGCAGGTTCACACCATTTTCTGGACCAGATCTGGAACACAATGCATTGCGTTTTGACTGCGATTTTGCTGTGTTCCGGAGCTGGGCTTTCAGATGCGTTCCAGTTCTTATGCATGCATTTGTATGCATTCCAGACCAAACAAAATGAGACATGCAGTATTTTTCTGGTGTGAACAGAGGCCAGAAATAGCATAGGGATACATTAGGATGCAATTTGTTGTACAAATATTTTTATTAAGGAAGAACAGAATTACATTCCATCCAGTAGGAATAAATAACGAAAGGTTCATGCAGTAGAAAAGTACCTTATAACATTACAACGGCATATTGGTGTGCCATGGTAAGACATCCATATAAGAGCCAATGAAGGACAACATTATAACATTAAGTAGAAGATAAAAAAACTGACGAAAACAAAACCCCCCCTTCCAGAAGCCATGGTAAAAACGAATGCACCAAAACGGTATGTGCATAGACTCTGCGGGTGGGCTAGCATCTGGAAATCAAAGTGAGGGCGCCAGCTACCTGCTGCTGCTGCAGGACGCTAGCGGGGCCACACAAGTAGGGGAAGAGGAGCTAAAAGCTATATGCCAAGCAATCAATCCATATCACATGTTGAAGGCTCCAAAAAACACCAGAAGAACCTAGGGGTAAGTGGAGAAAAAGAAAAGGGGAAAGGATAAGAGAAAATGACAAAGAGAAAAGGGGGCTGTAAGGGGAGTCGAGGGGGGCTCCAGCACCTCAACCAAACATGTCCCAGTTAGCTACGATCCAGTCCCAGTGGCTGGACATAGTCCAGCCAGGGTGACCACGTTTTCCGAAAAGAGGCATGGGAGTCGTGCAGGATAGCCGTGAGTTTCTCATGTACCATGATACCCATGATCCGTTGTCTAACCTCCGAGACATTAGGATGCAATTTGGGTCTGGAAATAGTCTGGTCTGGAGATGATGTGGTGTGAATGGGCCCTCAAGCAGAAAAAAAACAAGAACCATGAAACCAGAGAGACAACATATTTGCTCCTGGAGCTTCATTCTTTTTCAGCTCTACTGTTATTGCCAGCATAAGGACATGCTCCCTGGCTTCTCATTGCCTTTTGGCTTTTTGCCTTTTATTGAAATCTAATACATTTGTCAACCCCTAATAAAGAGGTATTGACTAAATGGCAAATCTAGTGGTCAGATTGAGACCTGCCTTGTGAATGTGTAATGTGGCTGTTTGCTGTTGTACAATGGCTGAAATATTTTGAGTGAGTTTAGCCATTACACTTGTATTTTTGCCTTCCTTTGTAGTACCTTTAGACACAATGGGGGGAATTTATCAAAACTGGAGCAGACAAAATCTGGAGCAGTTGTCCACGGCAACCAATTAGCTTCAGTTTGTTCCGTTAAGATTGTAAAATAAGAGAGAAAAGCTGATTGGTTGCCGGTCACAGCTGCTCCAGATTTTGATCAATCCCCCCCAATGTATAATGCAAATGTTTGCGGAGTTGACGAATTGACACATGCAGAAATGTGGTATGCTTTCATCATTAGCCATCAGTCACTCTGGCCTACTATTAATCAACTGTATTACTGTAGAGTGGCGTTGGTTCCTTATTAGAGTTCCCAGACCGAACAAAGATTATTTGATGCTTATTATTTTCATCCAGAGGAGAAAATGAGCACAGAATAATAAGTCTTTGCAGTTTACCATTAATATTCCAGCTTAGCAGTTGATATAATTTTGATTCTTGGGAGGGCGCACAAGTTCAAGGTCAGTCACTTGGCTTGTGGTGTTCATTATAAGCAATTATTGTGTGACAAATGAGTTTGAGATCAGGCTTTAAAATGGTGTAAGAAAAATCAATAGTTCTAATGAAACCTTTTCAGGTCATTTACCTTTTGTTAGTTTGTCAGCAGAGAACGAGATAAAGCGATCTGACAGGCTCTCTGGTATCTCCATAGTTGTTCCATCCTGTATTTATGAAGGGCTGAAAACAGTTTCTGTGCGTGTCCATACTACTAATCACAACCCATTTGTGTCAAAAGAGAAATGGTTGTAGCACAGCCAATGATGGCAGAAATTAGCTAAAACGAGTGAGCTAAAAAGACATTTCTTTTCTTTCCCTTAAAGTTCCCCGATGAGGACGAAGAGACCAGGAAATACCGCTTAAAAATTGAAGAACAGAAACGTTTGAGAGAGGAGATTTTGAAGCAGAAAGAACTGCGTCGTCAACAACAGGCTGGAGCCAGGAAAAAGGAGCTTCTCCAAAGACTTACGCAGCAGCAGCCACCGCAACAGGCTAGCAGTGCACAGGAAAGCCAGCTCGACACAGACAAACAGACTGTAAAGTCAGAAAACAACAGCAGCCAGATTTTGCCTCAAGTTACTTCGCAGGTGCGGCCAAATGTGAAGAATAGACTGCTTTCTAAGAGGTCTGAGGCTTTGACAACCTCTCCACAAAAAATTCCTCATCTGCAAACTGCTGTACCCAATGTAACATTTCAGGGGCAACAGAAGAAAGTCATTAAGCAGACAATGCAAAACAAAGTGTTAGAGTGTCCTGCTTCAAAGGTTCAGCAGGTCCGGCCTGGAATGTCAGCCCCATCTCTGGCCTCACAACATGCTGTTAAAGTAGTTCCAGTTGAGGGCAAGCCACCAGAGCAGAGACTTGCTGGTACAAAGAGGACTGTCATGCAGAGGTCAAACAGCAGCTCTGGAGAAGGAGCTCATATAGCACCAAAAGTCCGTGTGATTAAGTTATCCACAGGGGTAAGTCCACATTGACATTATCTTGTCAAGTGACACACGGCACATAACCACTTCTAATGCTGACATATATATCATCTTCTCTGTTGTCGGCTGACCCTGGAATATCTTTACCCATTGACACACTGAATACAAAAATGCCTGTTTTTTTATAACTGTTATATCATGTTTTTGCTGTTTTCTGTTTTTATCATCTTCACCATTAAAGATGATAGAGGTAGGCATATGAAAAACCTTTTTAACCCAGTGTAACAAATATTTTTATTTTGTGATTGAGGCTTTTATTACGTTTTCATATAGGGTGTCTTGAATTATTTCAAAATGTCAGCGAGTTGTTTTAGCTAGCTTATTTTGTGAGCTAGGGAGGAGTATTCTCTCGATGGTTATGTAAGCTGGGATTGACGTCAGCAATTGTAAAACCAGTTTTATTCAGTACAACATTTAAAAAACGCTTAACTCATAGGAATGATCAGAATTTTTTATTTCTTAATTCATTGGGGCCCCTTTCGTTTTCTATACTTTCTTAATCACCATTGTTGTGTGTGTTTTTTTTTTATCACTGAAATATTTTTTAAAGATAATACACTAATTTGGTTACAGTTTCGTAATGCTGGTGTTTCATGTATCGGGACAGATTTAAGGAAAAATGCAGAATAGTCTATTGTTCGTAAATTACGGGACACAGGGAGTTGAGCTTTAGTTGATTTGACATTGGCAAATCAATCAAAGCTGCAGGACAGCTTTGCAGAGCCCACTCCCAGTTTGCAGCAGTTTTGTAGCTAGCAGTACTTTTTTTTTTTTTCTACAATGTTTTACACAAGACTCTTCTAGCAAGTTACCCTGCATGCCGTTTTAAATCTTGGCTTTCTCCTTAGCATAGCCTTAGTGGAGCTTACTCGACCCTGCCTAAAAGATGCAGTCTCCCCTGACCACTGTCAGATCCATGGTGAGGGCCAAATGCCACTCAGGTGCCCAGGCAGTAGTCTTAGTTTCCTACAGGGTTAAATATGTGTCTTTGGTGCCAGTCTTGTCTCACATGGTCAGTTTTAAATAGGGCTGCAACTAACGATTATTTTCACAATCGATTAGTTGGCCGATTAATCGGTTTTAAAAAAAAACTACCATGTTTTATTTGAAATAAAATACATAAACTGGTTGTTACAAACAAAATGTATTTCATTTCATTCATTTATTTCAGAATAAAACTGCATGCACAATTTTTTGCCACCGCACTGGAACACCAAGCTTTGCAGTATTGTGCGTTCCAATGCAGGCGATCGCACTGCGGCCAGAAATCATGTTTGGGGTGCCATTGAAATTAATGGAACCACAGTGCATCTCCCGCAGCAGAACTGGTCAGGCTAAAACCCCAATTTTTTTCCACCTTTTTTATTTTTTTAAATAGTTGTATGTATTAGATATTTAAATTAGTTATTATAGTATAAAATTAGTATTATATTAGATATTTAACCTCTTGCCGTCCGCCCGTAGTAAAAAAAACGGACGGA